GCCTATTTTATAGATGTTTTCACTCCCAATGACATAATACAGAACATTTAGGTAACGGGCTAGGCCTACTTCAACCAAATGTCAGGGCTAACCCTTGGCTGAGAGGAAACAACACCCTAGCAGAAAGACGGAGGTTCTTAGTAAAAATTTCTCACAATACGGGAATCGAACTGAGGTCCTTTGCGTGCGATTACGAAGCGCTTGGCCCGAGCACATTTTTAAAAAACGGCCTTTGCATCGTAAGAATAGCCGATCCATTACTAATTTTCTAGTACATTGAATAAAACTTTGTCTTTTTTTACAACCCGACTATGAAAAAAGAAAACAATCTTGCACTTTTGGTGCAAGCCTTTCAGCGCAAATAACCAAAATCTTCTGTAATTAACTGAGCCCACAGCCATGACAGTTTGCGACGTCACGACACAGTACGACAAGTCTGTCTCACCGGAAATTCCCCCGGTAGCGAGCGGCAGACACAGCAAAGCAAAAGCCTGCTGGCAAGCCTTTGGCGCAAGTCATCCGCTGCTCGCAAGCCTTCGATTAATCGAGCGAATTCCAGCTCTAGTTGTCTACCTTGCTGGTCTAATGTTTGTCTTTTTCTGTCAATAGTTTGTGACTTCAGAAGTACAAACCGAGCACTTTCAAGTAACCAGTGAACTACACTCTATTATTCTATACTTGCGGTGTCCATGTGCTGTCCGTTTGTAGACATGGAAAATGTTTTATTAAGATTCAAGATCAGATCAGAAAAAATGAATATTCTTTGCAACTTAACACTTCCTTCAAATTATTTGTGTCTCTCAAGAATATTCTAGTATCGTGTGTGCATTGTCTAATTGTCTAAATTTAAGAGGCTCTTATCCTTGTTTAGTTACTATACTGTTCTTTTCCTTTCTTGGTAAGGCTGTTAACAGCTAATTCTCTGGTGGAGGGAGGGAATGTTTTCTGAAAAGCTAAAATCGAAACATTCTATTAGGGAGCATTTCAAATGTAGCCAAAATACAAAACTTCCATTTCCAGTTCACTTTTGAATTTAGGAATTTGTTTGGTGAGATAATCATGGTTGTCGTTATCGCATCCCAAAGAGTTGTCAAATAAAATAAGTTTAGCTATTAATTTTACCCCTTGGTTCGTTGTTTCTCTGGCCTTTAATCTACTACAATGTTGGGACGCCTCTTTAATATTCACCGTAATCACTTCCCATTGTAAAAGCGGTTTGAGCCTATTATATTCTTCCTCAGCAGAATAGATGTCGCTTATATTATTAAATCACAGTTGTCGGGATCTGTCAATAGACTATTATAGTGTTCAGTTTATAAATTCCCTTTTCTTGTTTAAAGGAAGTAAATTTTTTTTTTAAAACGGGCCTCCTCTTCAGGGACACATCTAGAGGGTAATAATTGATTCTTGGGGTCGGGAGGCGCCCGATCTGGCCTCCTGTGGAAACGATCAACACAGAGCGTCTTTTGTACTGAGCGACAACGTTCCAATTTGCTCACCCCCTCCATTTTCGACCCTTCCCTCAAGGCCCTTTTCTTGGATGTCTTTTCTATTCTCCACGTTCTCTTTTACGTCTTTTCGTTTCTTATTATTTTGGTTACCCCTCTTTTTCTCTGGCACATTTCCGTCATTCCCCCGAATACTCCGTCCTCTTCGTCCGTCCTACTCACAAACGTTTTGTTATTGGCTTCGGCACTGTGAGCATCAGCTCCTTCCTCCATTGTCTCCACGGGTCTCTCTTTCTCTCTCTCTCTCTCAAGTCTCTC